ATGCACCTATAGCCATAATAGCTGCACCAAAAGCAATTAAAAAGATACATATGTATATCGCGTATCATAATCACAGAATAATCTTCATTTTTATTTACATATACAAATATCTAAATTACATTTATCTTAGTAGGTACTTAGTCAGGTTTGCATGTATGCAAATTAGGGTGGTCCAAAAATGTATGGGAGAAAAGTAAAATCGGAAATTTAATGCTCTCACCCCCTAGGATTGTTCTATACCGAAAAAAATATACCCCTGTTTTTTTATTTTAAAATCAAAATATATTTAGAGGTCGCTCAAAGCGCTCAAAGTTTCCCATGTATTTTGTATGGTGAAAAAAAGACTTTTCGTAGAAATGGCATAGAATCCATGGAAATCAAAATTTTTCAATCTGAATACTCTGCTTCTCTTCAGAAGACTTCAGAGAATAATGCCCAATTGTTTATTTAAACGTTTTTTAATTTAAACTACTTTTTCTTTTTTTCTTTTGTATATTTCTGTTTGTATATTTGATTTTTTTTTGGATATTTCGGGGACCCTTAAAAAATAGTTAAAATTAAAAAATGTTTAAATAAACAATTGGACATTATTCTCTGAAGTCTTCTGAAGAGAAGCAGAGTTTTCAGATTGAAAAATTTTGATTTTCATGGATTCTATGCCATTTCTACGAAAAGTCTTTTTTTGCCCATACAAAATACATGGGAAACTTTGAGCGCTTTGAGCGACCTCTAAATATATTTTGATTTTAAAATAAAAAAACAGGGGTATACTTTTTTCGGTATAGAACAATCCTAGCGGGTGAGAGCATTAAATTTCCGACTTTACTTTTTTTGGACCACCCTAATGTACATACTGAAGTAATGTTTATTTATTCGCTCTTCGACTTTTGCACTTCAGAATATTTATAACCAAATAAATTAAATTTCTTCACATATCTCCACGCTAGCTGGAGCAACTTCAAAATAATGAAAAGTGCGCCAATTAAGAGCAAATATACATCCAAATTTGCGCTTTGAATGTAGTTCATTTTCACCAATGGACTCTGTAAGTGTGCAGCGCCTCGATGCCTTATCACATATTCCGTCCAATAGACTACACTTTCTTTGGCGCTCAACGGTCGATCGCGATATAGCCTGGAGAACGCTTTCACTTTATTTACGTAGCTGGGATTTGTCAGCACCTCAGAGATGGCATTTCGAAATATACGCTCGGTGAGTTTCTTTATGTCCAACTGTATACCATAGCCGGCTTGTACCATTCTTTGCGCATTGCCGGGCTGATCAACAAACAGCGGCAATGCAACCATCGGCACGCCATGGTATGTAGCCTCTGCAATGCCACCCTTGCCGGCATGCGTAATGAATAGTCTGAGATTAGGGTGAGCGAGTATATCGTCTTGTGGCAGCCATTTTTGGTAGAGTATATTCGAAGCATTGCCCGGTGTATGGGCCAAGTTCTCCCATTTCCAAATCACATTTTGTTTGAGCGAGGAAAGTACTTTGTAAATAATTTGTAGAGTTTCGGGTTTGACATGCGAGTCTGTAATGTAGGAGCCCAAACTGAAGAGAATTGCGCCGTGTTCCTGCGAGGCAGAAAGCAATTTCGAAAGGTCCTGAAATTTTGCATAAAAAGTCAGTTATTAAAGTGTTTTTTTTATTTTTAAATTTTTTTCTATGACTATTCACTTTGGCGAGTGGATCTGGTTTTTCCTTGATTTGTATGCCACCAATGAGAATCGTTGCAGGTGTGAGTGGTCTTATTGGGCCCTCACTGTAATGGCTGTTGCAAAACATAATTGAGATGTTTCTCTTCATAAATTCATATGAGGGTAGAGTGGGATCTGCGGCAACGAATTTACTGAAATAAAATTACAAATGAAAATTCAAGAAATTAATATAAATATTTTTTTCTCTTTTTATTAATAACTAGCAAATGCCCGCCCGCAGTGATATTTGGCCCCCATAAGCCCAAAAGTAAACTATCGATTTTGGGGTTCTATTCTTTTGGGTTGGCTAAAATAATGCTTCAGCTATCGAAAGCCATCGAAGACGGGTCCCGACTTTTGCACCTGCTTGCATGATCAGTGTGAAGGTGATAGTTGAAGCAGCAAAAATGTAATGCTAAAGTTTAAGAGAACGCCAAAAGCCGAAAAAGGGCCGATCGATTCTAATTTTGTAAAATGGGTTTTTCTTCTACTGGTAGATTTTATATAATGTATTATTTAAAAAATTTTTTACTATGTTCAACAGATTAGTATTTAGTGATAATTCAAGTGATTTTTTTTGTACCCAAACAATATTGAAAGTTTTTCTGCAAATAATTTTTTTTAAATATTTTTTTTTTTAATCAGCCACGTGTAGACCATATTGAATTCAATAGTATATTTACTCAATAATTTTAAATACAAACTCCAAAAACCGATAGTACTCAATACAACGTAAATTTAGGCTTCAGATTAAAATTTAGCGAATTTTTTCCATTAAAGAACCTAAAAATTAGCACTAAATATCTTTTCTTAACTTACTTATAGTGCATTTCCGTTGTTAGATCTAGCATCAATCTAATTCCTTTTAAAACGGTGGTGAGAAAAAAATTTCGAACACGCGTTGGAAAATCCATGACTTCTCCCACTTTCATGGAAATCTCCATTGTCGGCAAATACGAGAGCTCTGTTGGATTGCCCATCAGATCGTCAACTACCTCCATAGGCTGGTTCATCCAACTTACTATGATCGGACAGTTGAATTTTGCGCCAACCACCAACTTGAAATCATTCATGAAGAAACCCAATATGGCCACATCGAATTTATTGTCTTTGTTTTCATAGAGTTCGACAAATCGTTTGTCCAGTAAGGCATCGAACTGCATATCCATCAACACCCGATTGGAAGTCAATTGACTTCCAAACAATTCAATAACAGTCGTTTTGCTATTGGCCAAACGTGCCACCGCTGCTTGATAACTCGGCAGATGCTTCTCCAAAGGTGGTATAATAATGTTGGTTATATTTTTATGATTCACTTTGGGTTTGAACAAACTAACAACGGTCACATTGTGTCCCTTTTCGGCTAACGCTTTAACCACCGACATATGCACGATCAGATGCGAGGGATAGGGACTGAGAAAGACCCCCAAAATATTCGAACCATCTGCTGGTTTCACTACGAATGAAGATATCACAATTAATGCTACGCTAACTAACAGTAAACTGCTGATTGCACTGAAATGCGCCATGGCTGGTTGAATTTGCAATAACTACTGGCTGAAGTATTCAAATCGGAGACTAATATATACATACTAGGGGTCTTCATCAAAAGTGATAAACTCTTGATAAACTTGATAAAGTGATAAGTTTATCATTTTGATAAATGAACTGTCAAACTTTGTATGGAAATCTATTTAACCAAAGTTTATCACTTTATCAAACGACGTGGGGGGATAAATGTATAAATTTCAGCAAAAATCAACCCTCAACAGGTTGCCAGGTAGTCGCTTTTGCTACGAACACATAATGGCAAATGAACACAATGGACGAGGTAAGAATGAAATGTAAGTTAAATAATAAATAGTTTCATGTAGTTAAATATTAACCAAGGTGCGTTTATGAAAGAATGCGGATAAATTGATAAATTTAAGCAATTCACCACTTTATCACTTTAGATGAAGACCCCTACTGATATTTAGTATACAAAAATTATCTCTGCTTATCACATTACATTAAGTAGCTCTTCATGAATTAATGTGTGCTTGGTTTTAAGCGCTAAAGGCACGGATGGAAATAAAGATAGCCATAAGTTGATGTAATGAAAATCACTATTAAGTACTTTCAAATGAATAGTTTTAAAAGGCGACATTTATTTATATACATTTGCAGTGCCACAAGCAGTCGTGGGGGAGAGATCCATTCCACCTTTTTCGAACGTTTGCAAGAAGTGTTGAGATAAAACAAACAAAAGTGAAATTAGTGCGTTTTTTTTTTACTTTTTAAAGGGGGTTGGACTCAAATTCGGTTTTAAATCTTACCGAATTTTCATATGTATGTACATATATATCAGAAATTAATTTCTCGACCCAAACAAACCAAATTACCAATCTTAAGCTAATACCGTGAAAAATTGAAAATTGTTATCTTATTTTTTTTTTTGTTATCTGGGATAGTAATTCGTGCCGTGAGTTAACATTTCATAGGACTACATATTACATAGGACAAACATATTTAATACAGGGGTAAGAATGCCAACAGGCGTCGCGTGTATATTTAACTTGTATTTAATAAAAACATTTTTTCCTTTCATCTTCTTCTTCTTATTTGGCGCTGCAACATCCTAAGCGACTTTGGCCGAGTCCAAACGTTTCTCTTCTGTGCCAACCGATGACAATTGAGATGCTTCTTCACCTGGTCTTTATATCACAGAGGAATCCTTTCTCTCTTACGCTGGCATCATTTTGGTGTCAAGCTGTTTTTTTCTATTTTTTCGAGGTGCGACTGTTTGACTGGAAATATTTCGTCTGCTGCTCGTTTACCCCCCGACTCATTCGCTATGCTTCCGTATCCAACTTGGAAAAGGCAGAATAAACATAGAGTTTACTGAGACCGATCATTTTGTTATCAGTTGCCCCCCCTCTGGAACCTGGTTTGGTATCGAAGAGCTTGGAGAGTCCTTTCCAAAGTTGGCTATGCTGGTGGTATTTCTCAATGCAAAGCAGTATTA